CATTTACTATCCTGTTTTTTGTAGCACTCTCCACAATAGTCAAACTTTGGAAAAAAGCCAAGTGTCCAAGACTAGATGACTGGTTAAAGAAACTATGGTACATATACACAAAGGAATATTACTCAGCCATAAAATAGGTAGAGCCATGAAATTTGCTGCTACATGGAGGGACCTGGAGAATGTCATGTTGAGTGAAGTTAGAGGGAAGGAGAGAGATCAACACAGAATGATCTTTCTCATATATGGGATGTAAATAAACAGAATGGTTGAATAATGAATACCCAAAGACAATGGAAACTAAGAACATAAGAACTGGTATTCAGTAGGAAACATGGCACTTAGCTGGGGGATAGTCGCTGATTAAAGGAAGTGTTCAACTGGGAGTAGGAGGTGGTGCTGAAAAATGATAAAGAGTTATGTATGAAATCCTATCAGTAAAAATACTATAATTCACAGTGTACCACACACATACATGCACACATAATCTCACATACACACATACACACAATATTAAGTGCCTCTCATAGAAGCGGACTAGTAGGTAGTGAGTGAGGTGGAGGGCATTAGTGGAGAGAAATGAACACTGATGAAGGGATCTGTGTGAAACATTGAGTGTCTAAAATCTAATCATGAACTTTTGTAACTTTGTAATTTTTTGGTGACTAAAAAGAAGTCTCTGTCATAAGTCCCTGGGCAGTATAGGTATGGGTCTGCTGTGGGGAAGAAAATGTCAGTTGGTGCTATTTATGACAATCAGTTGGGAAGTGGTCTTCCCTGCGAGTGTGTTTGAGACAATTATCAGGCACAAACCAAAAGTAGACAAATTGTTTGCTGGGGAGAGCAATAGTATTAGAAACTACTCAAGTTCCCAAGATAATGCTGTCAGAGCAAAAACTTGGGTGTACTCTATTCCAGGATGCCTGAGAAATAGTGGGGTACATTGGAATAGGCTTTGAATTTCAAGTAGTGGTATGCTTTAAAGGATTTCACTGCCACTCACTCCTGGTGACAGAGATTTTTAAATTTCTGTTTCTTCATTACTCCATCTGTAAAATGGGGATGTCTGTTCTAGCCCACAAGGTTCAATAAACTTAAAAGTTACCATGGTAATCACAATAAACTGTTTGGGAGATAAGAAAGGAGAAACTGTGTTAAATCCAATGGTTGTGTCAAATTTCTGTGTCTGTTTATGAGAATGAAAGCTCTTTTCTTCTCTGGCTCATGAAATTAAGACACACATAGATATACTTTAAAAACTGTGAGGTGAAGTTACAGACTTGCAAACTTTTGTGCTTACGTTTCAGTCATACAATGATTGAGTACCCATCCCTCCACCAGTGCCCATTCTCCACCATCAATGATCTCAGTATCCCTCCCACCACCCCCACCCCAGCCCCCTCACCCCACAACACCTCTGTGGCAGGGCATTCCCTTTTGCTCTCTATCTCCTTTTGGGTGTTGTGGTTTGAGTGGTTTGAAATATAGGTATTTAATGGTCATCATGTTTGGTCTATAGTCTACTTTCAGCATGCATCTATCATCTGAAGCAGGCCCTCTAAGCACCCTTTACTTGGTGGTTCCTTCTCTGTCTGAGCTGCCTTTTCCCCCAGCATGTGAGGCCGGCTTCCAACCCATGGAGCAATCCTCCTGGTACTCATCTCTACTATTCTTGGGTGTAAGTCTCCCATTCCACACAGGTATACTTAAACATAAAACTTAGAGGAATATATACAACACAGAAATTTACAGAGATACATAGCAATAAAGAAGCTGAAAATTAGAACTTATAAAAAAATCTTTAATAGTATGTAGTAAAATGTCTCCCTACATGTTATGTTCTATTTTACTTCCATTCTTTTATTTTGCCAAAATTTTCTAAGGTGCATGGTCTTTTTTTTGTTTGTTTTTTAAATTTATTTTCTTTTATTAGTGAATCACCTTGAGGTACAGTTACAGGCTTACAAACTTTCGTGCTTGTGTTTCAGTCATATAATAATCAAATACCCCTCCCTCCACCAGTGCCCATTTCCCATCACCATTGGTCCCAGCATCTCTCCCACCACCCCCACCCCGTCCCCTCCACCCTACCCCACCCCTGTGGCAGGGCATTCCCTCTTGCTCTCTCTCTCTTTTTGGGTGTTGTAGTTTTTTAAGGTGCATGGTCTCTATTTGATAACAGCTAAGATTATGTTTAGTAATAGGTAATTTTAGGCTGGTTTTGAAGATTATTTTGTTAAATAGTTGAATATCTGAGGTTTGGCTGATCACTTCCTTGGGAACCTTGATTAGTTTATGATATTTTTATCCCCATTTACTAAAAAGGCATCGAGTGATCCTGTGTCACACGCCAATGATGGCAAGAGTTAATTGGATTCTAGATCCTTTTTACATTTCTCCCTTCAGCAATTCCTTGCTGCTTTGACTGGAACCATGCTCAAGAGTCTGTGTATTTTTGTGTGTCAGAGCGACTCAGAAATGAGAGGAACTATAAGTGATTAAAAATGAACTTGAAAAAATGAAAGACATGTGTTTGCATTTTCTACGTGTTGTGGTAAGAAGCTCTGGAGAGATACATAAAATGGTCAAATCAAAAATCAAAAGAAAAACTAATACATGCGGCTATTTTGGTTTGTTCTTTTAAAATATTTTCTAGGGATCACCCCCATGGGAGTTGGTGGTGGCCTGGGGCAGTTCTCAATAATGCTCAGGCCAGGATGCAATGAAGTTCAGCCTGCAGGACTTGGGGCACACTGGGTGGTGTTTAAGGAGAGGTGGCAGGGTGGGGATGAGGGGTGAGGAGGCAACTGGGCTACCTCTGGTAGTGCTGGAGTGGGCTGCACACGGTGCTGGGGATTGAACTCAGGCTGCTGTACGTGCTAAGCATGTGCTCTATTATTTGAGCTATTCCCCTGAGACAGGTGAATTCTTTGTGAGTCATGTAAAGAGAAGGCTGTTTAGGATTGTGGTTCAGTGTTCTGGGGTTGGATCTAAGAAAGGGCACATAGATATTCAGCCACAGTTCCCTGCAGTTAGTACCTGTTCTCCAACTAAAAGGATGCAACAGCAAAGAAGCTGGGAGAGAAGAAATTCAAGAGATAGATAGGGAGATAGATGTAGATAGACCTGGAATACCAAAAAGCTGACCTGCTCATTCCTAGCCCTGCAATGGGATTGCAAACTTTCTTCAGCCCTGAAAGTTAAATTGGATTCAGCTTGGATATTTTTCCTTATATGCCTGTATGTACTGCATAATCTCTATGGTATGAATAATATAGATAAAGGGGAAGTCATCATACTGATTATCTATCTCATTTCTGCTTTCCTCGTGCCTTTGTAAACTCTCTTTGTTCCTTTTCCCTGTTTTCTTTAGCCACTTCAATTTGCAGGGTTATATTCTTATTGTTATCTTACTCATTTATATGTGCCACCATAAATAATTTCTGGAACTGAAAGGAGTTTGAATAAAAAATAAGCATGGAAAGTGCTATTAGGTTATTTCTAAGAGGAGAGAATTAGGTTATTTCCAAGAGGTGAGAGTACAAGTGATTTTCTTTTACCAACTTTATTGAGCTATAAGGACATAAGCATATCTTAAATCTACTTTCTCAATAGTTGTAATGTGAACCATTGGATGGTTCTAACCATTTTGCTTTGTTTTTACAGTGCAAATTGAGCCCAGGAATTCATGTTTGCAAGGCATGCACCGAGCCACAACCCGAACCTTCATTGTTCAGAATGTATTTCTAAGGTGGGATTGCAAGGTTGGACTGTTTGTCGCTAATGTTCTTGAAAATAAATATTCACTTAAATTTTTTTTTAAGACTTATAGGACTCACCAGTCTGTCTCTACTCCAGGAGTCTTATTTTATTTTAAAATGTTACCCTGAGCCAATTTGTCTACTGAATTCTCTTCAGGCCTCAGATAACTTCAGCATTTTTGCACCTCAGGCTCTTGATCAACTAATAGTTTTGGGTTTTTTGTGTTTTTGTTTTTTCCTGGAGGAAAATCCACTGTAGCTGAGAGTTTACTCCTGACTCTGTGCTCAGAGATCACTCTTGGTGGGACTCTGGTGACTAGATCATCCACATTCAATCAAGGCAAGCACCCTACACATTATCACTCTGGTTTCTCATTAATAGTTTTAAATACTATTATTTTTTACTCTAGCAATCATGGGCTGGAGCAATAGCACAGCGGTATGGCTTTTGCCTTGTGCCCAGCAGAGCCGGGTTCGATTCCTCCACCCATCTTGGAGAGCCCGGCAAGCTACTGAGAGCATCTCACCCGCAGGGCAAAGCCTGGCAAACTACCTATGATGTATTTGATATGCCAAACACAGTAATAAGTGTCACAATGGAGACATTACTGGGCCCACTGGAGCAAATCGATGAACAACGGGAGGACAGTGCTACAGTGTAGTGCTACTCTAGTAGTCATAGCTAATGATTGTTTTCTGAATCAGTTATTCTATTTGGGTGTTATAAGAAGTATTAGTACTTGGTCTGTAACTGTTTTACATATTATGAGAGAGATACCTTTCCCTGAATCAATATTTTAATAGAGCAAATTTTCAAACTTGAGAGAAAATAGGTCATGAGAGAGCAAGATTTTCACTTTAATAGTTCTCTATAATTCATACTTTATTGCATAAGGGAAATAAGAGCAAAAAAATAATCCAAATCTTCAATCTCACTTCATGTAAAATTTTTATTCTACAAGACAAATAATCAAGGTCATATAAATGCAAAACAAGAATAATTTATTTGACTCCAACTTCCCTTACAAAATAAAAATAAGACTTTAATAAGTCATCCCCCCTCAGCACTTCACAAATTTTTCAAAAATCCTAATTATGTTTGAAAACCATAGAGAAGGCATAGAGTTGTTTTGGTGACACCCAATCTAATTAATCTATGTAACAAACAGCAGGCAAGAAATTTGGAGATTAAAAAAAAATATATGTATATTTCTATCTTAACTGTCATGAGCATTTTATAAAACAGCTTGCTGAAAATTTTACAAACCTGAAGTTTCCACATTTGCTGCTTAGATAGCAGAATGATGTTGATGAAAGAGAAAATATAGATTAGAAGAAATTGTCACATTGTAGACAAAGTTGATACAAAAAGAGTAACTCGAATGCCCTGTGTTCTTTCTCCCAGTACTGTGATTGAGACTGTCCACTTCGGAATATTGTCCTACCACACAACTCGGTAGCATGGTAGATTGTGTGTATGCTGCAAAACTGCAGCTCTGATCCTTGAAAAGACACACTATTCTGCATGTTAAACAAGCAGTAAGTAAGAGGTATGAGGCTGAATTTCTTCACTGACTCCAGATGAATATACATTTCCACCTTTCTCTTCTCAGAGAATTCTTCATTATTTACTCTAATGCACTGCTATGCCCACAAATGGTCACCTGGCAAAGAGAGGTTATAAGATACATAAATTGTTTTATAGACTTCTAGTTCTACAGTTATAAGAAATAATTGAATTTCTTTTTGTAGCTGCAAATAATTTGAGTGTTGTTTGAGCTAGTACAAGAAAATTGCATGAATAAACCAGTAAGTATGAAAAGTAAGCAACTACTAAGTTCCGTAGATAATTTCCCGTTAAACCATTGAAACATTTCCTAACTTGCATGTCCTGTCCTTGAGGCTACAAATGGTGTTGGACTCAAAACAAACTGTCTAAGGAGAATTTAATAAAACCAACAAACAAGTATTTAAATATACATGTATATATAGCTATACGTTTAATCAACAAATAACTGGACCGAATACTAGAATATGAACAGAGTCCAATTTACCAATTTGCTCAACACCAGCTCTATTAGGTAACAAACACTTGAAACAACAAAGAAATCAGTACTACAATCGTCTAAGAGCCAAAGAAATGTTTTGGATGTCCTTTGTATGGCAAAAGCAATTGTGAAACAGGTAAAAGGAAGCAGTTTAGTTCCTATTCTTTAGCCAGCTTTGACACATTTACTTTGGGAATAACACATGGGAGGGATTCACTAACCACCTGTAACGCTGCATTATTCATGACATTGATCTTTGAATTTAATTGGACGCAGAGAATAAAACCATAGGCAATCAGGAGAGAAAAATGATCTCTGCATGTGTAGGCAATATTTACTCTACTGAGGCATATTTATTCTACTAAGTACCACTAGTCTTTCGTTAAAATAAGCAAACAGGAACCCACTAAGCTATGAAATCCTTAAAAGACTAAGTCTTTTTAAATCTCTATCCCTAGCACATGGTTAATGTCCTGGAAATGTTTGGGAATGGATTGTAAATAACAAATGCAAAACAGTTTCTGATGAAATAAAAAGAAAACATACTACTTATTTGTTTTTAAAATAGAGACTACGAAAGGGTCAATTAAAAATATTTCCCCCTTTTACCCCCTGTCTTCCTCCCCCACCTCAGGATAAGTTAAAAGACAAACTTTAAAGGGTTATTAGATGGAAAAGAGACAGTCTCTTTTTTTGTTGTTGTTGAAAAGATAAAGAAAAGAACAGATTCATAGAAGGAAGGCATCAACGGATGGAGTTAAAGGAGATGTAGTCGTTAGAAATCAGAGACACACAAAGAGAAAGGCCAAAGGGAGGTGACGGAGACAGAGATCAATGTCGTTGGACATGGTCTGTGTCCTTGGGTTGACTGCCCTTCTAGGGGGCACATCCTCAACAGCAGTTCTGAAAAGTCCTTTGTGTTCTTGATAATTTATCCTTTATTTCCAACCTTAAAACTTTATAAAGTTTTATATCCCCAGAAGTTCTAAAGATAATGCCCATGTTTAAAGCTGTATAGTTGTAGAGGGTAATTTTTTAAGGGATTTTTTTTTTACTCAGCAGAAGAATCTAGTCACTTTACTTTGTGTTCTGAAATTGTAGCTACCATGATCCACAGATTATAAAACCAGCATGTGTCTCATTACTGGGAAATTTAAAAGATAAACTATAAGATTTCATTTGGTTTGTTTGCTTTCTTTTGGGAAAACACATTCAGAAATAAGGAGACTAGAAAACCAAATGAACAACTGAAAAAAAATTTTAATTGAATATAGTCCTAGACCTAGGAAGTGCACATATTCTCAAATTTCTTTCTACTCTTTATATTTAACAACAAAACACTCTTTATGTTCCATTTGAAAAGTGAGCATGGTTAGAAGTCATTTCAAAGTTTTTTTTTCTAACTGCAAGGAATAATAACCACTCTTGTGTGTTCTGTTTAGTTAATAATAAATTAAATTACTTAAAATTTGGGGGTTTTTTGTTTGTTTTTTGGGCCTCATCCAAAAGTAGTGTTCAGAATTTACTTCTGGCTTTCTACAGACCAGAGAGTTAATACAAGGGTTAAGGCACTTGTCTTGCATGCAGTTAACCCCACCTCAATGCAGTGCCACAATGTCCCCTGGGATCTCCCAAGAGTGGTCCCTGACTTCAGAGTCAGGAGTGAGCTCTGAACATGGGTGTAACCCAACCCCAACCAAAATACTTTAAAAGTATTTTTCAAAAGCTATAAGAAGAGCTTATACTTCTATCAGGATATGTCCCCAATTTATCAGTGTCTCCTTTCTCCTGGGATCAAGGAATATCATGATGGGGGCTCCGAAGTTCTCTTACCACTTATTTGGCCCTTAAATGACTACATACCTCCCTTTCAGGACTGGGTCTCCTTCCCCTAAGACAACTTCTCAAGGATCCATTTACTTCTAGCTGTTATTTCTGGTATTTGCCCAGGGGTTGCATGAATTACTTTGCTGGAACTATTTTCTTTTGCCAGAGGGGGAAGTTCCTGTGTGCAGTCATTGATGTTCTTTTCAAAGTCAATAAATGACAAATAAAGAAATGATGGGAGATGATTTGTGGCAGTTTTGCCTGCAGGCAGCTGCAGTCTCCCGGAAGGGGAAAGTTCATTTAATGATTTCAGAAGGGTTCTGGCTTTGTTTCTCAAGGGCAGGGAAGGTAGGGAAGAGAAGGCGCAATCATGATGGGAGCCCAAGATTAGCAGGTAAGTGGTCTCCTTAAGTGGGTCTCACTCACCTCTGGTTTCACCCCTGTGGGTGTGAGGCCAACCTCCCTGCCTCACCAGGGTGCTATTCATTTGGGAACAGACTGCTTGAAATTTCTGAGTCTAGGCCCTTGATGCTGACTGCTACACACTACAAGGTCTATCTCCTAAATTGTAGGTCGAGGCTTCATGGGGATAATCCATTGAGTTTCTGGCAGTGATCACCTCTACTGCATTTCTGGATTCAGGAGTGGAAGTTTGAGAAGCCTTGTTATAGGAAACTTCCCTCTTTTCACCACCTACTACCACCTGGTCCTATTTGTAGTGGTGTATCATTTTGATTCTAAAACCACCACATTCACGGGAGAAATAAACAACACAATTGTAAGAAGTAATCTAAAGACCTTTATTTGTTCCAAGGTAAGAATTTCTTGTGGAAAAAGTTGGATGCTAGATTCTTACATCTTCACTGCTTTACATGTGCATGTCCCAAAAGATAGTTGTAGATGTTAATTTCGGAAAAGTGTGATCAAATCCTAAAGCGCTATAAATTTTTTTGTTTCAATTTTTCTTCTAAGCCCTTCAGTGATTTCTGGAATAAGCAGGGGCTGAGTGCTGAGTTTCTACAAAGTGGCATCAGCAAAATGCAAACTCATACTTACTCTGGATGGTCCTGCGGTTGGGCAGGGATGTGCTGAATAACTTCATAGATTGTGCCGTGCAAGTCTTGCCCTGATACACCATCTGAGACCGGAGAAGACCTACTTGACATCTGGAAATATGACACATTAAAAATTGGAGCAGAAAATTAGTCAACAGTATGTCCCCCATGTTGTATAGCTGAAAACAACTGAAAATGGTGATGACTAGAGAATTAGTAAGGTCTTTTTCCTACAGTGTACATATCTTCCTTGCTACAGTTCCCTGCACTTATGGTAGTTTATGCAGCAGCAGCATAGCTATGAGGTGAGAAGAGAACAGCTTGACAAAGCTAAAACTTTCTTTCTTCACCTAAGAAGAAAGTTGGCAGCACTGTGAAGAAAATATAACAGAAAGAAAACACACACGCACACACACACAGAGCAAAATAGGAGATATCAGGACAGCTTCAAATCAGAGAGCATATATAATTATCTTGTATATTACATCAGAACCTTTCTAGAATCTAATTGCCAATTACATGTAGGAGACTAATTGCCTGTCATTGCTTTTTCTATCCCGCTTCTGGAAGAGGTGCTAAATGGACATGAAATGTACAAGCAAAAGGAGGAAGAGTATTCCCTCTGTCCCTGTAGCCCAACAACCTAAGAGATCATTCTGATTTATAAAAACTCAAACAGGCCCAATTAATTTTCTTTCAACTTCAATTTGAAATCTTGGTTTCACCCTTTTCTGCTTTTGGCCTGCCACTAACCTGCACCTACAACTACCCCTCAGGCTTATTCCTCTACAGATCCTTCCACAGAGGCCCTGGTTCTCTTCCTCTTTATTCTCCTGCCATTGTAGCTGTTAACTGTAGCAAAGCCAATGAAGGATCTCAGCTGATTCCTCAGGAATTTTCGGAGTTCAAGAGAGTCATAATTCCAAATCAGCTTTTCTGCTTATTTCATAAATAAGCAGAGCGATTGGTAAGTGATCAAGACTCTCATTCCTGTGCCTCAAGTTCTTAAGGATTATAGCATTTGGAGAAAATGAAGGTCCTTTCAAAAAACACCCATAAAACTGAGTATTGATTTACTCAGTTGATTTACTTTACAAGGTTGACTTTGATGATTCTGCTATAGATCTTGTTCTATGTAAGATCCAAGAATTAGCTAAGAATTATGAAAAAAAATAAAGAGACACTTCTAGGGCTGGGGATGAGGCTCAGTGGTAAAGGATTTTCCCTGTGTGTGTCTCTAGCATCCCATGAAAAAGAAAGAAAGGAAGAAACACTTGACTTTAAAAATTCACTTCAATGTTTTTCATAAAGCTCTTCAATTTTCTGCTCTCCTCTTAGTCACACTTGTGGGGGGTGTAGGAGTGCTCTCTGTCACCATGAAGAGCTGTTTGAAATCACTGGTCCTACAAATACTTATTTTTGTTTTTTTTGTTGTGGATGAAATTGAACCAATTTGTCTGGGACTGAATAGATCATTGCAAAAGTTTTGTGGTGCAGTTCTGCTCTTTATTTGCAGTGATGTAGGATGGGTGCCACTGACTTACCCTTGAGAGGATGAAGTCCAGCCAATCTCCCTCCATTACTCACATGGTATTTATGAAAATAAAATCTGTGGCCAGAAAAGTTTATTGATGGAATTTACACATTGACTGCTCTGAATTTCTGAATAAGTGAGTACCCAATTCCTAACAGAAAATAGTTTAATTTTCTTGAACAATAAAAGAGAATATGAAAATTCTTGGAAGAAAGTAATTATTTACACCTCCATCCTCAAACTGACTGACAAGTCAAAGCAGAATAAGGAAACAGAGGGAAAATGGTCTTATGCAAATCTATAAAAAATGTTAACAAGTAGATAAGCACAGAGAAGCATTCTGTATGTCTGTGAAACAAAACTTATTGATTTAGGAGACTTTGTCTATCGGGCTGGAGCTATAGTACAGTGGGTAGGGTGCTTGCCTTGGTTCAGTCCCTGATACCCTATATGATCTCCCAAGCCTGCCAGAAGTGGTCTCTGACTACAGAGACTAACTTGTGTGAGGCTCTGGGTTTGATGACTGGTACCACACATTCAAAAATAAGACCATATCTTTGCAGACTAAAATGCAGTTTCAGCTGTATAAAGCACCCACTCTCACTGCATAGAACAATATCATCTGTCCAGTCTGGTCCTCCCGTTGTTCATCGATTTGCTCGAGCGGGCCCAGTAACGTCTCCATCATGAGACTTGTTGTTACTGTGTTTGGCATATTGAGTACGTCTCGGGTAGCTTGCCAGGCTCTGCCATGCGGGCGAGATACTCTCGGTAGCTTGCCGGGCTCTCCGAGAGGGGCGGAGGAATCGAACTTGAGTCGGCCATGTTGGCTACACTACCGCTGTGCTATCGCTCCAGCCCATCCAGAACAATATCATATACCTTCAGAATAATAAAAACAATTTAACTGCATACTTTGGGTTTATATGACAAATTTCTTCTGAAGATCATAAGGTACCTTCAAGGGTAGGGTATAATTAATTATCTTTGCAACGCCTTCTAATGATATGAGGAAGAAACAAAAGGAGAAACTGAAGAATGGAGAGAGTTTAGTAAAGCAACAGACTGCTCATCATCAAAGTGATGCAGAATTATTTAAATCAAATCCCTATTTATTTAGTCCTCTTGATATTCAACCTAGTTCTCTCCTCATTGAACTTAGCAGGTAGGGAATGTTTATAATTAGCATAACTTTCTAATAGTCTTATTTATAAAGGCTAAGGAAGATTCTATATCTCTCCAGATCCCACAAAGTCATTTCATAGAGGGCATGTACACATGGCCGAAGGGAATGTAGTCATTTGACTATACTCTCCATGTGCTTAAATGAACGCTTATTACACCTCATAGTGAAGCAGAACTCTAGTTCATGGCAACCAGTCATTAGAAAAACCAACCCTGGGAACACCAGATGCATCCGGAAAAGCAACAAATTCATATATCCCGAAGTCCTCCAGAGCATCTTCATGTCCTGAAATAGAAATCAAATACTACTTCAAATCAAATGCCTTGAATTGCTATTGATTTTCTTAAAAGTAATTTAGAATTTCCTAATCTCATCATTATGTGCTAAGATGAGAATTGATGAGAATTGATTCTGTACTGGGACAACGATTCTTAAAAATTGATATGGAAACAGTGTGTTATACATTCAAACAAACACATGTGTATGCTTGTTCTTTTATACCTTCCTTACTAGAATTCACCAGGTTCCAGTGGGGAATGAGGAGTAAGGGAAGAGCCAAGCAGTTCTTAACTACGGCACCTGACAGCTCTGAGATCACTAGTAATAAAAGCATCGTAGAATAACTGTTCTCCTGTTGTTCATAGATTTGCTCGAGTGGGCACCAGTAACATCTCCATTGTGAGACTTGTTGTTACTGGTTTGGGCATATCCAATACACCACGAGGAGCTTGCCAGGTTCTGCCATGCATGCGGGATACTCTCGGTAGCTTGCCGGGCTCTTCAAGTGAGACGAAGGAATCAAACCCTGGTCGGCCGTGTGCAAGGCAAACGCCTTATCTGCTGTGCTATTGCTTCAGCCCACCAGGAATAATAAGAACAAATAAATAACTATTGCAGCCCATATTTTCACACAAAATTGAAGTCACCTAAACTATCATCAGTAAAATGCAGTGTCAGGGCAGCTGGGAGGAACGAGATATTCTCTTGGGCTCTTTCCCGCTGTGACATTCTGTCTTTTGTGAAAGACCAGATAAGAAGATACATATTTATCAAGCACCTAGGGATCATATTAGGAATTCCACCTACATTATATTTAATTGCAATTAATTGAATTGAATTATATGAGCAATCCCTGGTGGAGTGAGGAGGGGGAAATAATTATCTTTAAGTTCACTGGTGAGGAAATTCATGTCAGAAATATAGTTAATTCTCCCAATGTGACATGGGGGAAGTAGTATATGTAGGAGCAAAGACCAGTTCTGTTTGACCCAAGATCTACACAAATGTCCCATTGTTAATTTACAACAATTCAGTAGGGACTTATTAGTAATAGTGATGAGGGAATACCCAGTCAGATTTCCCTTTCCTTTTCTTCTTGGGAATGAGTGTTTGGCATCTTATATAGTTAAGGCATTAACAAGGTTAGTGAACCCTATGTACTTCAAAGAATCAATGAATTATGATTTTGTAGAACTTAGTAATCGGTTTAGTTTTTTAAAATAAACTGATGAGCTTCAATTTTCTTTCTAAGAAATAGGAGTTAAAGGGATCTCTCAGGGGTTTCAGTTTGCACAACTTGTGGATTTACATAAAACCAATACAAAGGATAACACATAAAATAAAAATATTATTCACAGGAAAGGGGTAATTTGTAGCATATCAATGTTATTTTATGGGTGAAGCACACAATTGGTGTGTGGGAGCTGGATTCATTCGTTCTTTGGCTCTGCATTGTCCTTGAGAACCCCATATGTAGCCCCCAAACAAACACATCTCTGGATCACTTCTGCAGCTCATTTACAAACACCCACATACAAAGTCCCCCCAAATCAGTATTAGCATGAGATGCCTATTATATCAGTAGTGCATTATAGGAATTAACATAAGATATATTAATTAGTATACATCATTTTTATTATACCCTGCTCAATTTGGACATTACCTGAAAATGTTTGTGCTTTCCTGTATTCTGTTTCTGGCCTGAAAAGACAGATATGTATTCTTTTCAGTGATAACAACTGAGGAAAAGCATTCAAGGCAAAGTTATTTTCATAAACATAGCATTACCTGCTTCTTAGCTTCTGCTTTATAACTAAAATCAAGAAGAAAAAAAAACAGAGTGAGGTAATTTTTGGTACATAAGGAAACCATTCACTATTCTGTCACTGTTCTCCCGTTGTTCATCGATTTTCTCGCGTGGGCCCAGTAAGTCTCCATCATGAGACTTTGTTGTTACTGTGTTTGGCATATCGAATGTGTCATGGGGAGCTTGCCAGGCTCTGCTGTGTGGGCGAGATACTCTCGATAGCTTGCTGGGCTCTCTGAGAGGGGCGGAGGAATCAAACTCGGGTCGGCCATGTTGGCTACGTGCAAGGCAAACGCCCTATCCGCTGTACTATCGCTCTAGCCCTAGGAAACCATTACAATTTAAAAAAATTTTTGACCTACCTTTATATGGTTGATATTTTTTCCATAAGAAGAGGAGACACATAGAAATAATCAAAAACAGAGATATTCCAGTTATACTTGCTAAAGATGACAACGATTTCCCTTTCTGTGCAAGCTTCTCCAGTCCTAAATAAAAAAACAAATAAAATGTATTTTTAATGTTTTGAGTAAAGATCAGTAAATTAGTATACAATTTTATCTTCTTATGCACTATAATAAATGAGAAATCACTGCAAATATGTGCATTTGAAGAAGTATGTATATCTATCAATCGAAATATATGTACATATATATGTATGTATGTACATATGTATATTATGTAAAGAGGGCTAGATGAAGGAGAGATCTCCTTAAGATATTCAGATAGTCTACCTATTTTTTCTGAGCAGGTATTTCCAAGGTATGTCACTTTGGCATGTGGATTATTTCTCATTTCATATTAGCAAAACTGAGAATCTGTGGCTCACAAAACACTTTACCACTTCTTTATGTCAAAGAATGAAATTTGGAAGATTTACTCACAATTTAGTATTTTTATAAAAAATAATCAGACAAATCTATCTCTATGGCAAGGCACACACCTTATTCATCTTCATCATAGGAGTCAGCTTTTCATTGTCATGTGAGTTCTACTCCTCTTTCCTGGAAGGCCCAACCCTGTGCCATTCCTATGCCAGGATATATATCACTATCACTATCCTCCCGTTGTTCATCTATTTGCTCAAGCGGGCCCAGTAACATTGTGAAACTTGTTACTGCGCTTGGCATATCGAATGCGTCACGGGGAGCTTGCCAGGCTTTGCCGTGTGGGTGAGATACTCTCGGTAGCTTGCCAGGCTCTTTGAGAGGGGTGGAGGAATTGAACTCGGGTCAGCCATGTTGGCTGCGTGCAAGGCAAAAACGCCTTACCTGCTGTGCTATGGCTCCAGCATATATCTATATATCTATGTATATATACGTATATATGTACGTATATATGTGTGCATATATGCATATACATGTGTAAGTGTATATATGTATATATATACACTTTGCATTACTTCCTTTTTTATTCTATTTTAACACAAATTAATAACCATGGAAAGGTTAATACCAGTTCCATGTGTTTATGTGTATACACACACATATATATATATATATGGAGAGAAAGAGAGGGAAGAGCTTATTTAATCTAGAATCTTAGTTCATCTTGATTCACCAGACAAATGGAATCAAACTTGTTGTTTTTCCTTACTGTTCAGGCCAATGTTAATTTAACTGTTTTACCAGCACAAGAAAAATACAAAGGGATGGAGAAACATTTTTGTCTGTGCCTACAAGACCAATTGGAAGAAATGCATTTATTTCATAACACATGTTAAATTATCAATGGATACTTGTGATTGGAAATATGATAAGTTATGCAGGGTGATAGTGTATGCTTTATTAGTAAAAATAATGCCTGGTGTAGTAAATATCACACCAGACTTTAACAGTATTCACCACCACTGAATTTAGAGATTAGATTCAACTGCATAAAATATGGCCCAGGTGTTAGGTTGTTCTCTTTCTCCTTTCCTCCAATTCACTCTTTTAGACTGATTTAAGGATGCAAATTAGTTTTCTAAGGAGGTAATATATGATTAACAATGTGACCAGAGAAGTTTTTTATTTCAATTATACGCTACTAATTTTTGACCCTGAAAGTCAATTTAAATCCTAAAACAGAATATATGCATTATATTTTGTGAAAAAATTAGATTCCCTTCTTGTAACTAAAATTCACTTTAATTTCTTTCCTTTCCAGATATTATCGTACTAAACATAGCAACACAGCTAATAGCTAGCATCAGCTAAATCACCTAACTTTGCTCTAAAAGAGTTCATGATTCACAAAACTTACTGCATGATTCATGAAAATATTTTTTATTAAAAATTTCTATATATATTTAATTGAATCACCATGAGATCAGCCAGCCTGGCCGAGCTGGGTTCGATTCTTCCGCCCTTCTCGGAGAGCCTGGCAAGCTACCGAGAGTATCTGATTGCAAAGCCTGGCAAGGTACTTGTGATATATTTGATATGTCAAACACAGTAACAACAAGTCTCACGATGGAGACGTTACTGGGCCCACTTGAGCAAATTGATGAACAACGGGAGGACCATAACCGTGCCCGTGACACCATGAGATAGTTACAAAGCTTTCATGATTGAGTTTCAGTCATACAATGATCAAACAGCCATCTCTCCACCAGTGTACATTTTCCACCACCAAAGTCCTCAGTATCTGTCCTGCCACCCCCACCCCACTCCACTCTCTGCCTCTATGACAGGCATTTTTGTTTTCATTCTCTCTACTTTTGGGCATCATGGTTTGCAATAAAGTACTGAAAGGTCATCATGTTTGGTCCTTTGTCTACTTTCAGCACACATCTCCCTCCAAGCGATCCCTCCAATGTCTCCATCATTGACTTAGTGGTCCCTTCTCTTTCCCAACTGCCATTTCCTTCAGCACTTTAGGCAGACTTCCAAACCGTGGAGCAATCTTCCTGGCCCTTATCTCTGCTGGACTTAAGTGTTAGTCATATACTATATTATTTTATATTCCACAAATAAGTGCTGTCATTCTATGTCTGTCTTTCTCTTTCTGACTAATTTTCACTCAGCAGATCATGAAAATTCTAATATGAGATAATTTGTAATCCCCTATTATAGATGAGGAATCTGAGGTTTGCCCAGATTATTCAGATAATAAGAGGAAGTGCCAGGATATTGAAACTCTGCATGGCTTCCTTTTTGATTCTAGTTCAACACTACTTAATAACCATGGAAATGTTAGTACCAGTTCCTTATATTTAGAAACAGGTAGGAATTTCCTCCAACAAATGCAAATAACAAATTTTTCATATTATGTGAATCACTGTCACTGTCACTCTTCTCCCATTGTTCATCAATTTGCTTGAGTGGGCCCAGTAATGTCTCCATTGTGAAACTTGTTACTGTGTTTGGCATATTGAATATGTCACAGGTAGCTTGCCAGGCCTTACTGTGCGGGCGAGATACTCTCGGTAGCTTGCCGGGCTCTCCAAGAGGGGTGGAGGAATCGAACCTGGGTCTGCCGAGTTGGCAAGGCAAACGCCCTACCCGCTGTGCTATTGCTCCAGCCCATTATGTGAATCAGACATTGAAAATAAAATGGGACTCTAGAGAGACAGTACAATTGGTAAGATGCTTGCCTTTCATGCAACCAAGCAGAGCTTGATCCGTACTATCACATACGGTTGCCCAATTCCCACCAGGATTGATTCCTGAACCTGATCAGAGCCAGAACTAAGCCCTGAGCACCACTGGGTGTGGCCCAGCCCTCCCTCCCCTTAAAAACAATGAACCTGGCAGTTATCTATCTCTGTCTAGTTTAATGTGGGAGTGGAAGATATGGGACATCATTTCTTCAGCAGTGGAAAGCAGCCCAAAGATTTTTGGGGAGGTGAGAAACATGGACGCCTATCACTTCTGCAATAATATTCAACTTGTACCGTGTCATGGTCCATCATAAAACCTCTGCTGAGATTTTCAATTGCTGAGATAAGAAATAAATCTTATTATTTCCTCATTTCCATTGTAAATCATTATATCTTACCTAGAATGTTTCTATTACATAATGTAATGTGGCTTATGTATACCAAACTCTAATTAAAAACTCATGAAAATCGGGGCTGGAGTGATAGTACAGTGGGTAGGGCATTTGCCTTGCATGAAGAGACCCGGGTTCAATTCCCAGCATTCATGTGGTCGCCTGAGCACCGCCAGAAGTGATTCCTGAGTGCATGAGTGCATGTTTATGTGTTTGCATCATCGGGTGTGACCCCAAAAAGCAAAAACAAAAACAAAACAAAACAAAAAAAACTCATGGAAATCATGTTATCTCTTCTAATGTTCTATTATAATGCTCTTAACATTCCCCCTCAAGTCCTTAAGAATCAAATATAGATGTTTTTAATTATCAATCATTAACCACATCTGAAGAAACAATTATACTTTTTTAATATACTTTCAAAGAACTGTGCTATTAAAATTTTCCTGAAATAAGATTATAATGCCTGTGTGAAACTTATTGGTTTGGAACGTATTTCAAAATTAAATTCCTTTAAACTTCAGTGGAAAAGCTCTAAACAAGGTAACTTAAGATGAATATTGATGGCATTTTGGTGGCTTCGATTTCAACTAGAACTTGAGAAAACTTATTTGAAAGATTGTTTTTCTTCTCTTTTGGTTGATAAGTTATGTGATGTTCTCCCACTGTGAGGAAGCTGGTTGTTTATTTTGGAACCACCTCAGCTCTTAAGTCATCGCTTTGTGAGGTACAGTCGGATTTTTTCAAGCATTGCACTTCTGTTTCACCAGCTTGTTATTTCTAAAGAAGTGGTAACTTTGGGTGAGACACTTGACTTTAATTTTAAGTTGCATGTGCTGGATCCTGGCTTGGATCCTGGCTTGATCTCCAATAAAATATAGGCCCTTTAAGCACTGGTGACAGTGACTCCTGAGTACATGTCAAAAGTATCCCCTCAGCACCACTGGGTATGGCCCCAACACCCTCTTCTTATCTCACAAAGGGAATATCAGAATAGTCAGCTTTTAATTTGTGGCAACTAAGGGAATTAAAATAAAATTTATTATGTACATAAACACTGTACCTAATGTTATTCTAAAATTTAAAAAAGTATATGTACACAAAAATTACACATTTTATAATATAAAGGATGCATATCACATACTTAGAAATAATAATAAACCATGTAATGCTCTGTTGTTAAATCCATATAACTGGTTATTATGAAATAATTTTGCTGATTTTTGATGAATTCATATTTGAAGTTAATCTATGGATAAAATTCAACTGTTCTGAAAAAATTGATTTAAAAATAAACATTTGATAGCAGCAAGGAAATAGATCACAACACAGAATAACAACGTGTTGTTTTAACATGAAATCTGACTGACATTTGATAAGATAAAATTTAAACCGCAATAATATGCATTGGTATTTCATCAATTCATCAATGACATGAAGTTTTTGTAAGTTAGGGGTTCCAAGAAATGTAAGGGAAACTTTGGTACACCTACAAGATGGAGTACTATGTAGC